AATAATATAAAAAGTATATATTTAAAATGTAATTAAGACTATGTACACATGCAATACATTTAATAACAGCAAAACTACATAGCATCTTTAACAAATAATTTTTATATTAAAAGGACAAACATCTAATAATAAGTCAAATCAAAAAAATATTTTTTTAAATATTAAAAAGGTATTTATAGTAAAAAAAAGTAATTGATCCTACATACACATGTAATATGTATAATTTACATATAAAATAAACTATTATTATATTATTATTATTGTTATTATTATTATATAAATTATATTACAAACATTAAAAGAAAATACATTTTTTAACCCTTTTTTCTCCTCTCCTTTTCACTCTGGTCCTCACTAGGTAACAAGCTCTGGACTTCCATTCTGGATGGGCGCAAAGAGATGTCCACATCCTTTGACCTTTGACACCAACGATGTAAGTTTTACTCAGTAAATACCCCCACATAGCCCTTGGGATCTCCCATCATCCCCTGCAGACAGCATTGTCTAAGTTTAGATGACTCACAGTTTCTCTCCTGGTGTGAATAAGATAGTATCTGATATCAGTGATCACCTGTGATGAACAAAGCAAGGTGAAAACATCTTAAACCCCAGACTTCTCTCACAGACACACTCACACTGGTAAACACACAGTGCCACATTAGCAAACAAGTCATGCTTTTCAAAGAAACACTTTCAGACGCATGTATAAACAGAAATAATCAAGCAAAAACACATAAATATTTTAATCAGACGTCTCTTGATATGCAAATGATTCCATTCTATAACCATTATTCTATTTTATGGCCCATTGTTTCCATTGTCTTGATTCTTTACACATTATCAGCATTTGGTAAGATTTGTATTCCCCTAAAGGAATTCCTTTTAACTCATAAGAGTCTGTTTGAATTCTGTGGTTTCAAAGGTTAGCCCATTTTGGGAAGTGTTGTTTTTTTGAATGCGCTACACACTTTCCTTTCATCATTTCCTGTTAACCACTGGAGATCTGTTTCTCTACTGTGTGTTTGTGATCCATGGCAAGTTTTTCCACACTTCAGCTCAAAATCAAACACAAACTCACAGTTTTGCCTTTGTTCTGCCAGCTACAATAGAAGTATTTTGATTTTAAATTATTACTGTTTTCTTTTGTTTTATAGACCACCCATATGGACTTCATTGTGGCAGCGGGCAATTTATATGGGCAGATCTATGGGATTACAGGCTCAAGAAATCGTGCCGATATTCAGAGCATTCTGCAGGGGGTAAAAGTGCCCGAGTTCACCCTTAAATCTAGTGTAAAGATAGCAGTGACCGACCAGGAGCTGAAAGAGGAAAATGAGGAGAGAAAAGAAGAAGGTGAAATTTTATGCTTAATATAAATGTACATAGTAAAATTAAGTCTGTAAAGAATGTTAAACATCAAATATCTCTGCTAATATCCCTCACTGCATCTCTTAGACAAAGTCAAGCTGGAGATATTAAAGGAGAAGCTGTCCAAACTCAAGCTGAAGGACCAAAGCTTCCGGATGCAGCCACAGGAGTTTGAGAAGGTATGTCTTTGTCAAGTCGAGTTTTATTTGTATAGCATTTTCGCAATACATATTGTTTTGTGATGCCTTGATGAAACAATTTCATTCTTTGTATCATTTGTATTAAAGAAATAGTTCCAAAAAATAGATCCAAAAATTACCCAAAATGTACTCACCCTCAGGCCATCCAAGATACAGTATAGATGAGTTTGTTTCTTTATCAGAGCAGATTTGAAAAAAATAAAATAAAGATTTGCATTTCATCACTTGCTTACCAACTCTGCAGTGAATGGGTGCCGTCAGAATGAGAGTCCAAACAACTGATAAACGCATCACAATACTCCACAGGTAATCCACACAACTCCAGTCCATCAATTAACATCTTGTGAAGTAAAAATCCATCCATAATCCATAATAACGTTTCCTCCAGTGGAAAAGTCCATCCCCTGTTGTCCTCTTACATCAAAATCCAGCAACAAACTGTATTTGTTTAGAACTGATTTGGATTGTTTTTGCGTGAAAACGCTTTTGGACTTGATTGATTTGTGCATTTGTTACTGGAGGAAGCAATATTATGGATAGAGGTTGAAAACATCTTGCTGCATTTGTTTTTTGCAAACGTGCAGCTTTTCGCTTCACAAGATGTTAATTGATGGACTGGAGTGTGATGTGATTACTTGTGATGTTTTATCAGCTGTTTGAACTCTCATTCTGACGGCATTCATTCACTGCAGAGGAAAATTAATAGTGTTTTTGATATTTTGCCAAACATTAAATTGCATTTTATAGAAATAAAGCAGCCTAGACATTCTGCAAAACATCTTTTTTGACTTTACACTTACTAAAGAAAACAATATCGGTTTGGAAGGACTTGAGGATGAAATGGGTATGATTTTTGTGTCAATCATTCCTTTAGCTGCGGTAAACATAAAATTGGTCTGAAAAGTTAGTGTTAACTTTGGCATCCCCAGTAGATACACACATTTGGTATGTGCAATGAGCCTGTCAGACATGTTGGCGTCCACTCTCAGGTAGGAGGTCTCATCCAACCACAAAATTGGCCCTAAAACAGCCAACCCCCGACTGGAGTTTTCATCGACCCTTAACCAGCTCCATCCATTACAGACCAGAGAAAACAGTCATCCTTTCTGTTGAGACAGATCTTCTTCACAGAACCTCACCGCTGTGACATGCTTCTCAGAAAGAGAGCATCCTACGCACAGACGGGTCTTATGAAAAACTCTGGATGCACGCTGGTTTAGTCAGTGATTGCTTTGTCGTTTGTCGTGACTGCATGACACATGGGCTTCCACACACATACATGGAGACTGAATGGGCAGCAGTCTCTGAACAACATCTCAGTTGTGTTTTCTGTTAGGAAGAGGATTAGTCTCAGTCTGTGTGTTTCTCTGCATGTATCTGTCTTTGATTTTCACAATCTCTTCAGTCTTTAAGTCTGACCTGGACTATCATTTCTCCATTTCTCTTTCTCTGGTTCTCTGGTCTTTAGTCTTGTTTTCCCTGAAGATGAAAGCATTCTGGTATCTTTCTGGGAATGTTCATATGGCAACAGTTAGACAAAGGTTTCTGTATATAAATGTACTGCAGGGTGCATGTAGCCACATGGAAAATCTGGGATCTTCTTTTATTTAAACCTGAAAATGAACGAAGATTTAAGATTTTGACCATTTTAAAACAGAATAGTTATGATGAAGAATAAATATTACATTGAAGCTAAAAACAGTGTTATTTTAGTATCATTAATATACTATTAAAGTATGTAATATTTTGAATTAGATTTAAATTTTTGAATGAGTTGTTTTCACTAATTGGAGTTAGTTTTAGTCATTTTGTTCTGTTTTGTCATTTTTATTAGTTATAAGTTGTTATGGTTTAAATAGGTTTCATCAATTTTAGTTTTTTTTATTTCTAGTGTAGTGCTTGGTTTTAGTTTAATACTTTAGTTGAACTAACTGAAAACGTCTTGGAAACACTGAAATAAAACAAGCTTTTTCATATAAAAAGCGTTTGTCTATATGAACAAGATTCAAATAACAAAAATGTATTTGTTTAATGGTTTTAGTTTTAGTTATCAATAATAACCCTGGCACAAGATGCTTGTTGGAACATCTCAAATGATGCTGGAGAACACGATTAAGTGCATCCATCATAAAGAAAAGAGAAATAAAGAAAATATTTTTTAGGCTGATAATATAATTTTTTATGCAAGAATTCTATTAAATTAGAAAAATGAATATTTCTGTAGTGGTCTGAGACTTTTGGGCCCCACTGTTTGTATCATATGTCCGTATGCATGTGCAAGTGTGTGTGTGCACTTTAAGCGATGACGCATTCTTTGCCAGATCAGATGTTTTGTTTTTCCAGTGGAATGTGCGTTTGGGGGATTCTGATGGCATCAAGTTGCCAAATTATATACTACGCTCAAACACCCCTGCAGTTGCCCCCAACACACCCAGTACTTGACAGTCTTTGTAGTGCTGCGCCTGCCTGGGGCATAAGACGAGTGCCAAAACCTCAAAACCAGGGTATCCTAATATTCCTGCAAGACCTAATATCACACCAAACTTCTTGAGTTGCCATTATGCTTAATGGCCTATTTGGTATTTAATGGTCATATCTTTGAAAAGATCACTAAGTTTATAATAATATGATTTGCAAACTAGTTGAATCTGGAGCAGTTGCAGTTTTGTGTGACATCATGTGCAGTATCACTGGAACGTTACATTGGGAAAAAAATAGGAAACTATCAAAGTTTAAATATGACGCGGTATGACATCTTTGTCTAGTACCTGTTGTACCAAAATGCGCAAACATACCTATGGCTACATTTTGTTCCTGTTTTTAAATTCTTCTTGTTTTTTATACAAGACTAAAGATAGCAATCAGCATCGCACCTTTGTCACAAAAGCTATTTTTGTCCGTTGTATTTGCCCTGTGGTAATGAACGAACAGATGGTTGTTGGGTGAAGATCTGCTGATGGACAATCAAAAGGTGTTTTCCGTAATTGAAAAGAAGTAAAGGACAACAATAAAGGATACAGCTTGTTTCAGACTGTTCTATTAATGCACAAAAATAAATTTTAAATCTGTATTTATGTCATGTTTTCCATTAAACATATCTAAATATCCTAAAATACTATTAAATATTAAATTAATGTATAATAAATATTAAGTACAATGTACTTACAATTTACATGAAGCAAAATGGCAGATGATATTAAGACAAATGTTTTCTTCATGTTTTAAGCATAAATATCACAGAACGATAAGTTGCATTAAAAAATGCATAATAAAAATTACAGTGGCCAATGATGTGAGTCTGATGCGTGTATTCATAGACAACCAGGATTGAATGGAAGAATATTCTGTGCAAACCCCTCCTAATGTGTCAATGCTTGTAAAAATGCAGTTGTTTGTACATTACCAAATGTTCTTTTTATTCTTGTGTTCCAGGATGATGACAGTAATTTCCACATGGACTACATAGTCGCAGCATCCAACCTGAGGGCAGAGAACTACGATATACCAACAGCTGACCGCCACAAAGTGAATGACTATTGTCTTTTTCAAACAACTCTGCTGTGCTTTTGTTTGTGAGACAAGCTCTAAAGTGATCAACATTCCCCTCTGGGGGTTTGTGTTCTCAGTTCTTGTACATATACAGTACACCCTGAGGAAAGACCTTTTGATTATACTGTACTAGACCATAGAGTTCCATTCCAGATACTATTTTTTGCTTGTACTACTTTCCATTAATGGTTTGCATGACTAGTTTGCACCCAAGAGTATGCATTTGTAATCACAAACAGTGTACAGTGTGTACTGATGTGCATATTTACGTAAATAAGATCCCTTTTCTCATCTGCAGAGCAAGTTAATTGCTGGCCGCATCATTCCAGCAATCGCCACAACAACAGCTGCGATCGCCGGGCTGATGTGTTTGGAGCTCTATAAGCTTGTCCAGGGTCACCAGAAAATCACATCCTACCGCAACGCATATATAAACCTGGCCACCCAATACTTTGTCCTCTCACAGCCTTGTGTGGCCCCGACATTCACAGTAAGTGATGAAGCTACTCACTTATCACCATCTAATATTGTGTTGTCTGAATGAGTGTGTAGGCCTTTTTCTGTCTAATTCATTAGCTTTTATTCTATGTGCATTTAGCATAAGGAGCTCTTAGCTGTTGAATACAACACATCATAATGGTTGTATGTATTTATTGACTGTAGGACTGCATTGGCCCTTTTTTCTAACATTAACATTAAAGCACTAATCTGTGACTCCAATACAGTAATTTTACCATGATTAAAGAGGGTTGTTAGTCAATGTGGATTGGCCAAAATCTATTAACTCTAGTAAAATCACAGTAATGCATGCTTTCAAGTAGCTTAATTGCATTTATAAAACAGCATAATTATATTTATTTATTTATTTATATTATCATTTTTTTTATTTTATTGCCTACATATATTTATTTTAGCAACAACAACAATAGTAAGGATAATAATAGTTATATAGCTAATTAAATATTAAAATGAAATGCTGTGTTAATATTTCTTAAATTATAATATAAAAACTACACAAAAAATAAATATGTATTTAATATTAAGATCTCAATCAATTTGATCATATTAATTAATCAGATTTATCTGTTTTATTATAACGTCTTTTCACATGTACTCTGAAAAATTGGTGTTAAAATGCGATGTAAAAACAGTTCTTTCAGAAATTTCTAGTAAATTTCACAATTAATTACAAAGAATTTGTACTAAATGAAACAAAACATTTTTAAGTAGAAAGACGTTCTCGAGTAATCTTTGTTTTATTTACAACTTTATAAAAATCATCAATGCTTATATTCTTTATTCAAACAATTAGTTTTATACACTTATGGTAGACTAATATGTTGTTTGTTAGAGTAAAATAGTTTTTACAGTGTATTATTACTCTTGTGCAGTGAAGTAAAGGTGATTTTTACTGTGGTTGAGTTCTGTTATGAGGGCCGGGGGTGATGAGTAGGGAGTGATGGCTGGGGTGAAAGGCTACAGCATCAGTCTTCTGTCTGGGTCTGGATCACTACAGGATTTGGTGAAATTATTTTCAACCTCAGGGGCTTAAACCACTTTGTAACTGTACACTCACCCCCACAGACCCTCACCTGCCAACCTGGTGCATTTGCTTAGTTTAGGGGACTTCCACATTCAAAGGGAACACGTTCAGATTTAGACAACTGAGTATTCAGACAGACACGTGTGTGTGTGTGTGTGTGTGTGTGTGTGTGTGTATAAAGCAGCAAACCCTCAAAAGAAGTGCATGCTAAATCTGGAGTTTAAGTTTAAGCTGGTGTGCTTTGGGTTTATAATGACTGCTAGAGATTAAAAAAACAACTGAATGGTCCAAGATTTGTGCAGATAGTCTTAACAGATGACGTAATGCAAACCCCAGACACGGCCGTCCACACACGGGGGGAGTGTTGTTTCTACCAACATGTGCAGGGTCAGAGTTGAGGGTAATTCTCACCCAAGGGGACAGGCGGTGAGCTGGGCTTTGAAACACACAAGCTCATGTTACTTGTGTGATGTGACCATTTTCTGTAGTGTCCAGACTGCTCCTTTCTCAAAACACTCAACGCACACACACACACACAAACTGTTTGGGTTACAAGAACATTCACTGGCCCTAAGAAATATTTAGACACCAAAGCCACACAAATGTAAGAATGTCATAGAATTAAATAACTGGGCAAGTTTTTTCTAAAGTCATTGTCTGCTCAATGCCTTTTAATCATTTTTTCAGATTTTTTGTGAATGTGTGAATTCCGTTCTCAAGTTCACACAGGTGTTCTTGCAGAGGAACCACATATGTGGTTCATCACATAAACTGTCAACATGTTCCACTAACTTCAACAAAGTGTCACAATATTTTTGTATGCATTTTGAACAGTATATCAATTGATTAATCATTGCAATTCTATCAAACATCTTCATGTGATGCACTACTGTTCAAACAAGTTTTTGAAAGAAGTCTCCTATACTCACCAAGGATGCATTTATTATATTAAAAGCACAGTAAAGACAGTAATGTTTTTGCAATTTTAAATAACTGTTTTCTATTTGACTATAAGAAACATTTCTTATTATTATTATCAATGTCGAAAACGGTTGTGCTGCTTCATATCTGTGGAAACCATGATATAGAAAGTTCAAATGAACAGCATTTATTTGAAGCAGAAATCGGACTTGGAATGTCTGTACTGGCATATTTTAGCATCCTTGCTGAAGAAAAGTATTAATTTCTCTCAAAACTCACCCCGATCTTTTGAACGGTATCTATATTTTGCCTAAAGTGTGCATGTGCTTTCTTTCTTAATGTTTAAGTGTGGCTTAAGTGTTTTAAAACATTTCAGGATTACCGTGTAGAAAGGTTTTGTGTTTAGAAGTTTAAACTTTTAGCTTTTTTCCCCCCTTTATCTCTCCTTTCACTTTTTCCATCCCTTTTGTTTTGTTTGCATAGCTTGCTATGTCATACATATGACTGGCACAGTGTTCACTAGTCTTTTCCAAGTACAGGATGTGCGGAAAAGTTTCCACACATGGGACTAGTTAAGGTTGAGCTTGAATACGCTTTATTTTGTGATACTGATACTGTTTGAATGCAGTCACATGGCGGAAAACAAATCATTGAGTCAATTAGTTAAGCCTTATGTACTGTTCCGGGTCAATTTGACCCGATTTGATTTTTGACTTGTCAGAAATATCAGTTAACTTATGTTTTTTTTCTTGAAGTTTTGTGACTTTTTCTCATTTAGAGTCATGAACATGCATGCAAAAATTTCAACACTCTGATGTGTTTTGACGTCCACAAAAAATTTTGTTACGTTCGTACTGTTACCGGGTCAATTTGGCCCGCCTATTTTAATGTTCTAAGGCAACTCTTCAGACCCAAAATAATAAAATGTATTGGTTATATTTTATTTTAGTTTTTTACTGTCCTATGAAGCAAAAAAAAAATAGCTTTTCCCCCACTCATTTCAATACAGAAAAAATATTTTGTCAGCCAAAGATGGTAAAAATGAGCTATCATTTCTTTTTTAATCTATCTGAAATACTATTAAACCTATGTTGTTTTTCTTGAAGTTTTGTGACCTTTTCTCATTTAGAGTCATGAACATGCATGTAAAGTTTCAACATGCTGATTTGACATGGGGAAAAAAAATTATTAAAAAAAATTGTTCCCGGGTCAATTTGACCCGCCTATTTTAATGTTCTAGGCAACTCTACAGAACATAAAAATGACTTTTCCAGCTAAAATTGCTATAAATCTGGAATACTTTGGAGTCTTAAGTTTGGTATCTTTTTAAAGGTGAAGATTATTGTAGAAGTTTTTGTTTGAAGATCAAACAGTTATAAAAGTAAATTTGTAAAAAGTTATGGAAGTTTAAGTTTATGAAAATGTAAAATATAAAAATATATATATTTTATGTAAAATATAAATTTTACGAAACATGTTTACCTCCAAATCTTCAAGAAAATCAAAGCCAATCATCTGAACAAGTTTTGTGCCAATTTCTAGGTTGATATCTCAAGAAATGAACTTTTAAGTAAGATTTTGTGGATGCAGTACCAAACTTTTCCACTAGATGATACACAGGGACTCTTGATTTCCATTTATTGTTTAAATGTTCTGAACCATATATTTACATAATTTTCTAAATATTTATGAAGTAGACATCCTAATCAGAAATACTTTGGGCAGCAACTTTAATATCTGATTTGAATTCAATCTCTAAAACACATAAAAATATAAGTATAGAATAAGAGTGTGTTTGGCACCATATCACAAATAGAGAATCTATCGCTATTTATCTAGTCTGAACCCTTTCAAATGATATAGTTTGTCAAGATTACATTAGGTTTAGACCAAGATATTATCGTTAAAAAATGGTTTGTAATTCTTTGTAATGTATGAAAAGTTTTGATATTAAAAGTTAATTGATTGTACTTTGTATCTAGATTGTACTAAACATAACTGTTTTTTTTTCATATCATAATTTTTGTGGAATTACATTGAATCCAATACGGGTCAATACGCGAAGATACAGGAAGTCACCTGTTTTTGAAGAGTACATGAGGGTTATTTCCATTTTTAAAACCTTTGTTTAGACTGTGGTGGTGATACGGTAGTCACCATATGGAGCTTTGTCTGCTGTCAGTGTATTAAATTGAGCTGTGGAAATAACTATAAGTCTCCTTTCCAGCCACGCAACGTCCAATTGGAACATTTCATGGGTTTAGAGAAAAGAAACACAAAGGAGAGACAGATTTGACTGATTGGTAATGCATAACAGTCAGTTGATTGCTAAAATTAACTTTTAAGTCACATGGTCGCAAGAAAAAAAAAGCAGAATTATGGAAATTTGACAGGTCACAGACTAAGAGGTTTCTTCTATATATAAAAAAGATACACTTGTGAAACTGTCCTCAGAAATCTAGTCTCAGGAAAGATGGATATGCTTGTAGCTTCCTGTTTTCTACCAAGGACATCCTTTTTAAAAGCCTCCACTATTTTTACACTCAAGACGAGTTTCAGAGAACTCGTTTATCAATCCTTGTGTCATGAGAATGACCTGGTTTAGTGTTACAGACCTTGTTTTTGGACTATATAAATATGACTTTTATAAAACTCATAGTCACAATGGGAGTTTTCCATTTTTCTTTACATTTAAACTGCAGTATCTATTTAATAACATAAAGAAGCCCATATTTATTGTGGATAACCATCCATTTAGCGCACTGACTATGATGCATCAGTATTTTACCATGGTGTTTTTGTTTCCCAGCATGCAGCATTCTACTATATGTGCAGTGTTACAATGGGAAAATGTGCCTTTATCTGAAGTGAGACCCTAGTGCTCTGCCTGCTGGGGTTATTGCTGTGGCAGCTTCAGGTCCTTATTAGCAGCCTCTCAAGGCCTTTTATGAGACTCTGTCTGTCGTAACCCTGTAGAAAAGACCAGCATGTGTTTTCTTTTAGATGCTGGTCATCATCATGGGATGCTGGTGTGCTTGTGTCTCCATCGATCACTTGTGCGAGTCTGGTTCCTCTGAAGATCTTTCCCTCTACTACCTGAGCACCTTTTTGTCCGTGTCTCAGTAGCTATTTGCTTGCTTACTGGAACTTCAAGGCTCAATTTTTTGTAGGTTTTGTATGGATGTCACTTCAGATCTGTCTAAACATGAGGTTTTGTACCATCTTTTGATGTTGTCCTGGATGCATGCATATGCATGATTGTTTACAATATAAATGACCACCTCAAAAGGTGGTTTGATCACATGGTTAAACAGGGACTAAAGGTCTGAAAAGTTGTCAATCTTTACAGGGTTAATGGGTAAAGAAAATGGATCTTCATGTCTGAACATGCTTCTGTTAATAAAACCATTTCTGGCAGCTTGGCTTTTCACCTTTAGGCGTTAATGTCAGGGTCCTCAGCGGTGAAGCAAACATCTGGCAGTGCTTGTAACGCTTTTGATATTTATAATTCAAGCCTTTCTCTCTCTTTATAGCCACAGTTAATACATTTTTGTCTGGTTAAGTCATCTTATGCTGTTCATGACTTACAGGGATTCAGTACCATATCACTACATTTCAAAAGTTTGGGGTCACAAAGATTTTTTTATGTTTTTAGAAGAAGAAGAAACAAACAGTTAAAAAAATTTGAATTTAAATAACTAATTTATATTTGAGTGTATTTTAAAATAGAATGTATTCCTGTGATGCAAAGCTGAATTTTCAGCATCATTACTCCAGTCTTCAGTGTCACATGATCCTTCAGAAATCATTCTAATATGTCTGATTTACTGCTCAAGAAATATTTTATATTATTATTATTATTAATGTTGAAAACAGTTGTCCTGCTTAATATTTTTGTGGAAACGGGGAAAACTTTTTTCCTCAACTTTTTCTTTTGAACTTACATAATGAATTAGTTGTGTCTGCTGAGTTGATATCGTACCGTAAGCTATGAGGTGAGAGCATTTATTTGGATATGACATGTGTGCCACCTTATTTGGCCATTTATGAATTACGACTGGTTGGAAAGAGAGAGAACAACAGAGGAAAAGAGTGAAGAGGCAGAAAGTGAACCCTGCAGAAATGACAGCTATTTCCTGCCATCGCAGGAAACTCCTCTATTAGAACCAGATTTTCTTGAGCTCCATTGCGGCTGTCTTTTTATTCCTTTAATCATTCACAGCTTCTTAGAGAGAGACCAAATAAGAAAGAAGGAGGCTGTGTGGGGAGAAATGGCAGTTTCAAAGCCCATCTGCTCAATCCCAAAGCTTCTTCTCACTTCTTTGTTCTCAAGCGTTCCCTTTATGATGGAGTTTCAAAACATCGAGCCTTTACATGTTAATTCATTCACTCTTTTTTCTTGTGTTTACTGTAGAGTGCACTCACTTGCATAATCAGCACTTACAATAGAGCTGAGCTGTGTATACCTTCATCAGCGAGCATTTGGTCTTCGTTAAAGCTTTGCCTTGTTAACGATGCACAAACACAACATCCTAACCACTTTACATGATGACATCTTGATGAAGTGTTAAGGAGGATGATGCACATGTTTAATGTATTGCAAAATTTGAGGTCATGCACAATTTAAAGATAAGAACTGACTTGTTAATGCTTTCCATAATGTGTACTGCAGTTCTTTTGGAGTGATATTGAATAAAATTGAGAATTCAATACAATTCATTTGTCTATTTCAAATAAAAGCTGTTCTTTTAAACTTTCTATTCATAAAAAAGTAACTTTTACAAAAAATATGAATCAGCACAACTGTTTTCAACATTGATAGTAAGAAATGTTTCTTGAGCAGCAAACCAGCATATATGGTCACCAAGGTGAATTGGTTTAGTCTTGACTTCTGGTCGTGAGGGACAGTGTTGGGGTGGATCATGGGACATCTGTTGATTGTCGAGTGCCAAATAAATAGAGATGGACAGGGAAAGGAAAAAGCCATCAGGTGCCCAATTTAGAAAAAAAGAAATGAAGAAGAGGAGAAACGAGCAAAAGATAAAGGTATGCAACAATGTTCTCTCTGTATGATTATTAATAGTTTATCTCAAAATATGTGTGTCAGTTACACTGATAGGTCAGAAATCCATGTAAACAAGCAAATGTTTCGATCAGGGTTGTATTTCATTGACCTTTCTATTCCACTCATGGTAATACCATGGTGCTCTTTGTTAATGTTAGCATCTGCTCTGCAAACATTGCAGAAGTCTTCCCAAAACAAAAATGCATGGCAGCTGGATTTTTATTGTCTAATCTTGATATACAAACGTCATTCTATTAGCCTTAGGCATGAAAACATCACTGCTGACCCTTGAGCCGTCCGCATGAGTCCAGACACCTCCAGGCCTCTCCAGACATTTCCTGTCTGTTTGCCTACTCTCCTCACCATCCTCAGCTTTCACGCCATATCAGTTGAGGGCAAACATTAGCACCATTTTGTATAATTATGGCCTCTGTGCGATTTAAACCAATTACGTAGGTATGCATCATGAGTTTTTCCCTTCTGTTCCCATAATGCTCTTACATTTTACTAAATTTTAAAGTATATTCAAATAGAAAACAGTTATTTTAACTTGGAATAATATTTTACAATTTTAATGATTTTACTGTATTTTTGATTAATTAAATGCAGCCTTGTGAGCAACTGAGGTTTGATTACAGTAACTCTATCAACGTCTCAATGTTGCATTTTGGAAGTGCAAATCTGTGTGCAATGATTAATCAGGCCTGAAAACACATTCATCTGTTGTTCAACAGTTCATCTGTTGATGAATTGTTGAATTTACATCTACTTAAAAAGAGGCGTAATTAAAGTTGTTAAAAGTATCGCCATCAGTTTTCTAGCTTTAATCTTTAACTGCTTTACCCTTGAGTCTTTCTTCTTCTCTGATCTTCAAAACGTTTTTTATTACAATCGTATGGTTGAGTGAGCACAGAAATCCCTCTGGTTTTCATTCAAACAAAATGGTAATTTTTCATAGACATGCACCAGAATGTTTGCCAAAAATTGTGTGTGGCCGTTTAAAGGAATTGCTTTGGAAGTAACATTGCATACTTTCCATATGTCTGCATGGTGGAATCATTAAGTAGAGTAGAGTCATGCATTGTGTCATGGCTTGCCATCACAAGACCACACCAAGAGGGTTAAATCATACGAAGGATTCCTGCTGCCTAGAAATGGAAGGATAGTTGGATAGATGCATAGCAGTTATTATTTTAGGCTATTATTGTGGTATCAGCTATTTCACTTAGGTTAGGCAGTCAAATGTCTTGCAGATGGTCTCCTTCTGTCTAAGTGAACTGTTCTTGACCAGAATAAGCTGCAAAGTGCACCAGACTTTGACGAAATATGCCCATCACCAGTGATCCCAATAGTCTTGACTCTGAACTTTTTCTCCCAGCAATGATTTTTCGTTGGTAGTCGGGATCAATCAGACCACAGGCCACAAATTTTTCGTTACCCACAGTGTTGAGTGCAGGAAAGATGAGCTTTCCCATAATTCTCTAAATTAGATGGGAAAGTTCTGGTTTGGATTAGCTAATCTTAGACTAAGAAACCATGTGTGTACCTGATGGAAAACGCTGAGAGAATACTGGAGAAATAGATTCATCATGAAACTGATGCATAAAGTTGCATGTTTTACAGATTCCAAGCAATATATGGTACACTTTGTTGACTTCAAGAGAAATATTTATTTAGAAAGACATACACTGATAAATAATGCACAATAAGGCCAGGAATGTGTGTCAAGAAAGTAAATAGGGAATGTGTACACAACATCCCCAAATTATGTGTTTATTTGTCTGTTAAATCAACAGATTTATTCAGAGTTTCAAAATCCAGACTGTTTTGTTGCAGGGCAGCTTGGTTGTTGTGTTATCAGTAGAATTAGGTGATAATGCCTTATGAGAAGAAAGTAAACAAGCTGTTTAGTCTGCTGGCATTTGTTTGTGTCTATGATGCTCATCAACACAGCAATGCAATGCCATTTGCTAAACATAGAGGAATTTGGCCATAAAACAGACACATGAAAACACTTATTCAATTAAGATGCTTTTCATGCAAACATGTCCACCAAGAATCCAAGCTAGACCGTAAAAGCCACAGTATGCTTAATTGGCAGGGCTGGTCTGTGAAAACACCATCAATATCACACTTCTCACCAGATAAAGTCTGTTTAACATGTGATGTGCTCAGACTGCAATGAAATATATGGTGTTTCAAAAGTGCTGCTCGCTATATGAAATGTGAATCTGCCTATACTTGTATAATGATTAAAAGACTGTGAGCAGTTGGCTTGGTTGGCTTTTTTCTTTGAAGACTTTGTGCAAATTACAAACCATCTTTGATTGATTTGGCTTGCTTTATAATGAAAGATTCTGTAGTACTCAGGATTTACTTTCATTCCTACAGGGCAAATATCTCAAGCTACTGAGTGCTCTGTTGCTGCAGCATGCCTGCACAGCGTTCAAAAAGAGGGTACCCAAGAGGGTAAATCTGACCTTATCGGAGCCTTAGTACTCCATTTGTCCAAAGCGACTTTTTTCACTAAATCGAATGACTGCCTACTCATGCTATGCGTAATAATTGACCATTAGTGATCACTGGAAATGCATTTGAAACATATTAATGCATATAAATGACCCGTAAGCACCAGTAGTGGTGTCTTGGAACAGATTTGGCACAGTCACATCTAGATGAATGCCCTGGCCATAAATAAAAAGACATTATCTTGCAGAGTAATCAGTGGAGGAAATGGAGAGTGTTTCCTTGCCGTGCATCTAATAACTGGAATTCTTTGGAATGCTCTGGAATGATACATTTTTATTGATCATGAATCTGACTCATAAACCTTGTCCAAATTATATGCTTTGGAGATCCCAAGAAATATATGGTACACTTTATTGACTTGAAGTCAAATATTTTTTCTGCTTATGCACTGATGAATAATTATGTCATCAGTATAATGTGGTTGTTATGTCTTATGAGGGGAAAGTACACAGTCTGTTTAGTCATAACAGACTCTGAATATTAGATTGATTGATTGATTTATTACTTAATCTTTTTTTCTATGAAAATCATC